AGGTCAATTGGTTGCTTATTGGTTGAGAAAAAGGTACGACAAAATATGGAACGAAGACGAAATTTGCGTCCTAATAGCGTTTTTGTTCCACTACGTGAAAAACGCGCTAAAAATGTGGGAATAAATAGTATTGTTTTACGAATTAAATAGTCTTATCTTTAAAATTGCAGTCAGGCGTTTTCATATAACAAAAATTACATGTTCAAATGAATCAAATTAAGAAATATTCATTTATTCTTGCATAAATTGATGAAATCTGTTCAATCATATGCAAAATTAAGAAAATCCGCATATTATGTCAAATTTTCTGAAAAATTAATAGGATTGATTTTAATGAAATATAGTATAAATATACATTTATAATTGAGTAAAAGATGTAGCATTAAAAAATCATTCTATGTATGTATGATTATTAGTAAAATTCCCCATCGTAAGGGATGTCCAAAACCATGCCCAAAGTTAAAAGATTAGAATCGCTTGCGCATGGTTCATTGAAAATATTTTTATAAAAAAAAACTTCCCAAAATAAGTTTCTTCCGAGATAAGCGGATCCGTGCGTAAGCTGAAACCCTTTCTTTAACTTTAAAAAGACTCCGAAAATTCTGGGCTTATATTCAGAAATGTGCGGTATTTAAAGACTTAAGATTCTTCACCTGTTATCAAATATTCAAACAAATGATATTATAGGGGGGAGGGGGGTCAAAAATTGGGAAACAGTTTTTTTGTACTACCCGAAAAAAAATTCTTTAAGTATTTAAATGAAACTCATTATTAAATAGTTCATTTAATAACTTATACAATGTATACTTTTTTCCATAAGAAAAACTTCACGACGAGCACTGCCAGTCAAAAATTCTTTTTCCGTATTTAGTTACTATCTACTTTGAAAAAGAACCTCATTACACTTAATTGCGGGCACAGATATTTAATCGCTGACATTAAGGAAAAGATAATACATCACGAAGAAAGCATTAACAAGTTGCAGATGTCTAGTTAAAAGATTTTGGAAACACGATTCACATTTTGAAAATGGCTGAAACAACTAATATCCTGTCTTCACAAAAAAGTTACTCGCCGATTCGTATCACTTCATGCGAGTTTCACACAGTTAAAAATGTATGTGTGTGTGTACCACACCCTCTTAATCATATCTTTTGGATAAAGAATTTTTTAATGCTTGTTTAAATAGTTTTTCTTAATTACTTCTGTCAATTTCGAAGAGTAACAACCACATATGTCAAAACCATTTTTTTCTTCTTTTCAACAGTTGTTAAGATTTTTTTTTATTATGTTTAAAATCCAGTTTTTTTTTGTTTGTTATTTATATGTTGAAAAATGAATTGATCGAAAAATGATTTATATAATCATAGGGGCCTAACGTTGTAGTTAATATTGTTTATGTCAAAAAATTTGAACTAAATGAAAGAACATTAAAATGAAAATATGTACAAAACTTTCAAAATCACTAGATACTGCTTTATTTTAATTTTTCATAATAATAAAGTTGAAGATTTGAAAAGGCATTATACAAACTGTGCGAATCAAAAACTGCAACATCTTGATTTGCAATGTATTTTTTTGCCACTATATAAAAAGCGACATTTTAAATATTTGCTATCGCATATGTCTCAAAGATTTCAAAAGTCTGTGAGTCTTTTTAGACAAAGAATTTTAGAGAAAATTAATTTTTAAACTGTATTTGAACTGTTTGTTTCCAAAAGCAGGAACTCTACATTTATTTTCGATTTCATAAATATCGAAACACGCTACGTATGTTATTTTCTCTGCTGTGGCACTCTCCTTGTTAGAAAATTGAGTTTTACAGGCAAAATTCGCTTTCCAGCATGAATTTGAGTAAGATTATGGCAAGTATAGAAGATTAACCAAGGTTTCCAGATTGAAGACTTTATCGCCCTTGACGACAAATTTGAGGAACACACTACATCGCTAAGGAATCATCGAGAAGGCTCTAGGATTTCAGAAAGGAGATCAGTCGTGTGTGTTAAATGTGATAAGAGAGAAAGACTTTATCTCTCTGAGTTCCTGCTAGTAGAACTGTTTTGAAACCCGTTTTGGGAATGTTGTAAAGCTTACTTATATTGAATGCTCCTTACACTATTCTGAATAATCTGTTAAATGTTTTTTTGTGTATGTACGTCGATTTGTCTTTGTAGAGTCATTTGACAATCCTTGTTCATTAATAAATTTGTTATTATTCAAATAATTAAATAATTAGAGAAGTCGGCTGTTTTTCCTCCACTCAGACTTGTAACAATATTAAAATAATATATAAACTATATTTTCGAATTTGTTTCGGGTAGCTTATATATTGAAATAATTGATGAGTTTGTATGTGTTTATAAACCATTGATATGATTTAGTGCTACAGAACAATTATTTTTTCGAAATTAGGAAATTTTTCTCTGGACAAATGCTGCTAAATTTATTTAAGATAGCAAACGATAAATCTCTCAGGTTTTTTCTTCCTATTTTTTGTGGGTAAAAAATTAGATAAGAATTACTTTATTATTCTTGGGTATTTACATTTAACTCCATGCCAGTGATTTATAACTTAACTCAGGGACGCAACAGCCCATGAGGGCCAAGGCCTACTATGACCATATCAGTATACGTGACATTGAACCCTCAGGTGCATGTGCAGATGTTCCAATCAGGTGGTCAGTTTGATGCGAAGCAAGCTCCCAAGCTAGCTTAGCTTCCAAACGTTAAGCTCCTAAGCATGCTTGGTACTCATTTATCGATCCACTGAAAGCATGAAAGGCTGAGTCAGCCTTGCCCAGCCCAAGGTTTGAACCTAGGACCTGTGGTGTGGAAGCGCGATGCACTACCACTCAGCCACTGGACTTCGAAATCGTGTTCTATCTTTCACAATGCTGTGTGCTATGGAAGACTATCAATTACAATGAATTATGTGATTGCTGCTCATGTGAATAAATGTTTTCGTACAAACACAAATAACAATAGATATTTTTGATGGAAGTATGCACAAAATTACTGTCGAGCAGCTTAATTTCATAAAGTATGTGTTTGAGGGTTGCTCATCTATTAACAGATTAATATAAAAAGGAACTCTTTGAAAGTGCGTTTGCAATTTGGAAACTTTATCAAAAGGAAGGAAATGAGTTATTGAACAAAACTGTGACCAGAGATGAGAATTGAATTTGCTGTTTCTCACCTGAAACCGAACGCAACTCCTCCCAATGGAAACATTTCATTTCCCCTATTTTAATAAATTGTTGAACTGGATGATTGAACCAGTTAAACCAGTGATTTATAGGCAAATATTAATTGCATGCCAGAGATTAATGATCAAATATTTTACAAGCTATGACATTTCCCGGCGTAAATGAAAATGTGTTGAAATTTGCCATAGGTCACTAATGACATTGAATTAATAATGCATGTACCCCAAAGGGCTTCAAATATAAATAGGTATACATCGTTTGGCAACTGCTTTCCCGAGTTGTCACCAACACGAACAATGGCTACTACAAACACATTGCCAGTACAAAATTTGGCGTATGTACTACTTGTTATCGAGTTTGGTTCCAAATTCCCTACTACAAATAAGTATATATATGTTACTGGCAAAATTTGAACTCAAGCATTCTATAGAATGCTTAGGCATTGTATATAATGTCGAAAATAGGCCGGTAATAAATAAAGCGATTTATATTTTCCACATTGCCTAGGCAATCTATAGGATACCAAATGAAAAACATATGAAGTATGAAATACATCCCCGATTCGTTTTGAATATCACTTACCTCAGGCTCAGAATCTGTCGGTTGCACTTTTACGGTTTGTTCGGGAGTGTCAAAATACACAATTTTACTCATATTTGTTCAACAAATACTAGTTCTTCCTGTGCTGCATGAAAATAAGGAGCAAGCTGTCGTGTTGGAAAAGGTGTCATGGTCTATGGGCAAGAAACAAATATTCGATGATGAACTGGCCAAAATTTGAATTAATGCTGCAAAAAACAGTTTTTTCCCCTTAATCGAAACTAATTACCAGAAGTAAATAAATGATGTACAAAAAGCCAACATTTTAAAAGCTACTAGAAAGGAACCCAGGGACTATTGGCTGCTGAATCATTATGTGATGATTGTGAAAAACAAAAGTAAACTCAATTATCCTGTAAAAGAAGGTGTCAGTATGGTACACTATTACATCTCTGATTCTGAGTATTTCACGTACTTCATGAAGCTCATTTGGCTATTAGACACGGAGAACGTGATAGAATTCTGTAATACCAAATACAAAAACGTTACGCGTCATGATATTGAACTGTACATCCACCTTTGTGAAATTTGCCAGAAAAACAGAAAAGTTTTAAAGGGCATTGTTGTAAAACCTATGATTTTTTTTCCTCAAATTCCAATATATTGGCACTTGCAATGAGTGGGGAAGAGGATGATGTCTACTGACTTGGAACTTCTGAAGGAATTTTAAAACAAGTATATGCAAGATCACAATTCACTTCATGCCCTAAGAACCTTCTTAGAATTGAAGATCTATTCCTGACCACAAAATTCCTCTCCGGTCAGTGGCAATTGCTCAGTCCAGTGGAAGCGGCCAAGGATTTGTCCAATGTATATGTTCAACAAAGTGCCAAAATATGTAATGCCTTTGCGTGAAAAATGTAATGAAATGCAATTCAAAATGTCATTTAAGACTACCATGCTGCAACATGTAGGTTAATTTCAATTTCTTATTTTTCACTTCCTACTATAAGTTCTCACTCTCTCCCTCTCTCTCTATATATATCTTGTTCAAATTTTCAATCATTAATAAAATACTTCATATTCATCCATTCAAGTTCAAATGCATTTTTTTAAACTTGTACTGGAAGGCCCTAGATGTTAATACAGTTTTTTGCAAACATTAATTCATTTATTAAATTAAAAAATGAAAAAATAGCAACAAACAAAAATAATAGTCTAACAGCATATATAGAAAGGAAAATTGTTCTTTGTGTCCCTGTAGTTCAATAGATAGTACGTTGGACTTCTAATCCAAAGGTCGTGCGTTCGAATCCCATCTGGGATGGCCTAATTTCTGAGAATGTGATTTTTTTTTACTATGCTACTTTATTAGAATAATTAAATTTAATTAATGAAAATAAACAGTAACAAACAAAATAAATAGTTCAACAACATACATAGAAAAGAAAATAGAGAAAATTGCAAGGAAAATCTCTTTCCATTTTGTCACTTAATGTTGTGATTCTGTCATATGTATATACATATTTATATTAATTGTAACTATTTAATAAAAAGTAACTAAAATAAAAATTTTCTTTGTTGACCTAATTGTAGGAATTGACTTAAGAAAATTTTTTTTATATTACTTGTTCCAATACAAACTAGTAACAAAAATTCTATCTGCTGAAATAATTAGTTGATTCGGGGTTTATTATTCGTTACAATGGGGGGGGGGGATCTTCATTTTAATCGGAGAAAGAGAAAAATCCTTAAATAGGAGTTCGTTAAATCGGAGTCCAGCTCTATATACAAATAATTTTTTTAAAAAAATTCTGTTCGCAGTGTGGAATGTTAACTGCAAATCCATCAAAATGACCTTTTTGTAAAAGTATTCTATGTTTGAAAAAATGTATTATCAATATCGAGTTTGTCAAAATATTTAAGAAATATTTTAAATTGTCTATAACTATGAGATCCTAGTAATATGTATATTCTCCTTGATCTCTATCTTTTTCCAAAGAAACTTGAAACTGTTTTTTTAAAGAAACGTTTCGCTGTGTGAAGAATATAAATACAAAACACTAACTCGCATCTCACATCTATCGGGAAACTTGTCACATACTTACTTCTTGTCAGAAATGTATATGTTGATACTTCGCACTAGACCTATATCTATCAATCACAATACACGTAGCAACACTTTTCCAGTTTTATTGAGGTTAAAACGCCTACTATATTGTATACTATTTCACGGAGAGAGTCAAATGTCTGTTTTACTGTTTCAAAGAAATTCTTTCGGCCATTTTGACAAGTAAATTAGCACGTTGAAACCGTCTTTTCAAATCATTTATTCACTTACTGTATTTTGTTTCGTCTAAGCACACTCTCCTCAGTTTTTAGTTTTTGCATTCATTCTTCCGTGAAGATACAAGTAAACATTCGCCTTTTTATGAGTCAATCATCTTAACTGAGCAAGTAAAAGTAATTTATTTGTCATGCTTGTAATATGGTTACTCTATAATTATTTTTATTAGTTTGAAAAGGAAGACACACACACAACATTTTGGGAGGATGCTGTGTTATTACAAGTTGTTTAACTCCCTTTCATTGCAAGTAACTGTCTTTTGTTCTCTCTATAATGTATTATATTGATGTTAAAGATGGCTACAGTAATTTAAGATTATTAAACGCCTGCATTGTTAATGTGAGTAAAACTATTAACTACGATAAAAGGAAAAATTAAGATGGTTGTCTTCATGTTGTTATATTCACAGAATGATAATTTGCTACATAATGGCATTCTCAATAAACTTAGTTCCGGATGTCTATTTTGATATCTTTATTCACAACCCGTTTGATAAAGTAAGACGCCTTTTGTTTGCTAAATTTCATTTTGGCTTCGAAATTCAGTTTATTTTTTTACTTGGAACTTCATTATTTTTATTGAAAATTAGATTTTGACTACAAAATTTAAAAGGACAAAGAGTTAATTTTGTTTTTAAAAAAAGAAAAAATTTATTTTTATATTATTTAAGGCTGTTTTCTTATATATCAAGGAATCTAAAATAATATTTCGAATAAATTTTCGGATAAAAAACTGTTTTAGTTTTCAGGTGAATTTCTGACGTCGTATTTATTATAGAGTACATTTAAAAAGTTTTGAAACATTCCAAAAATACGTATTTTATTACCATGTTTTTACTAACTCGCTTTCTTGTCTGTCCGGGTGGAATTTTGTAATTGATTTTAAATTAACTTCTCGATGAGCTAGAGACTTGAAGCAGATTGCAATGCATGAAAATGTGGAAAAAAGAGTTCTAGTCTTGAACCCGGGCCCTGAAGAGGCGGGCCCCTATTTCGACAGGGGCCCAGTAACTCCGGAACTTACACGAATTTACACGAACAAAGACCACCTGTCGATAGCACGGTTCGAGTTGCGTCTACGTATACAATTCCGTGGCTCTAGGGTTAAAGAGGGGCTCCCAGGTTATTATTAACTCTCTTTCTTGTATGTCTGTCCGGGTGGAATTTTGTAATTGGTTTTAAACTAACTTCCGGATGAGCTAGAGACTTGAAATTTGGACCATAGCTGAGAAGCTGATGGCAATGCATGTAAATATATATATAAAAAAAGCTTTAGTCTCGAACCCGGGCCCTCGAAGAATCTTGTATGTTTGTCCGGGTGGAGTTTTGTAATTGATTTTAAACTAACTTCCCGATGAGCTAGAGACTTGAAATTTGGACTATAGCTCAGAAGTGGATGACAATGCATGAAAATGGTTATAAAAATTGGTACATAAAATTTTATTTTATTAAGAAAATTATTTATACTTGATTTTGTAAAGTTTAAAGCCTATTGATTGCAGTATACGAGACTAAATACTGAGCACGTTTTGCATAGAAAATAGTTTGCTACACAATAAATATAGTATTGCAAAAAAAAAGCTTCTCTATAAAGATTGATAAAATCGTAATACAATATTTATGTTCGAGTGTTTCAATTTTGGGTCCTATTGTTTAAAATGCGAAGACAAGCAAGAGTTGGTATAATTTCTTTCATTTTATTTTTTAAAGTTTTTTAAATATTTTATCCACTTTTAATGCGGAAATTTCGAATTTCATCCGCTTCTGTGTTGAGTAGATATTGTGGCTTGAAAGTTCATTTGTAGATCGAGAGAATATCTTTTAATAATGTTAAGAGAATAGGAGTAACCTTAGCGACAAATTTAGTAGCCGGATACCGTCAAACTCGGCTTCAAAAATAGATGCACCTATAAAGGCTTAGAAGATTCTGGAATAATTATTTGACGAGAAAACTTAAGAGGATTCTAGAAAGTTCTCCCTAATCTGTGTAAAGGCGATGCAAATAAGAAACATAGGAGTCAAATATTTGATAATGACTTTGCGTTTCATTCGCTTTGCATGAAATTGTGGTTGCTGTGTTCAATATTTATGGGATTTTTTTAATCCGTGCTGTTGTAGATTATATGAGTGTGCTAATTATTTCCTGTTAGGAGAAATGTCTACTGTAATTACGAGAGAATTCCAGTTTGGCAGTCTCAAGTTTGAATTTTTATTCGAACATAAACTAGCATTGCAAATTAGAAGGAAGGTGGAGGGTACCACGTGTTAAAAACTTAATCTCAAAATCTTTACGTGGTGTTATATGGATATTTAGAAGAGTGAAATACCAAATTGAATATCTTGGCTACTGTGGCCTTCATAATTTCAAAGAATACCATTAATATATTTCACATATTACATTCATTTTTAATTTTTCATCTGGAATACACATCACCACTATGTGAAAAGAATTACGAAAAAGCTAGACATTCTATTTCATCTCCCTCCCTAAGTTGGACCAGACAAAAGATTTTTATCAAACAATCTGCCTTTTTAAGTTCATTTAAATTTTAATTACTCCTATATAATAAATAAATTTATATAACTGTCAAGTTATAGAAAAATTTATGCAGTATCCTGATAAGTTTTAAATCAGTTAACATGATCTTCTAGAATGAAGATTTTCGTATTCTTGAGCTAAAACTTGAAAATGAATCTCCTTACTTTTCTTTATCTCCCAAACATTACTTTCTATTTTAAAAAGTGATACTTCAAAACATTTTTTTCACAAGGAATTACTTTTTAGTATGTACTTTTTTATCTTTTAAATAGCTTATATTTTCAGAAGAAGATCGTATATCATAACACTAATTAAGATATGCAAGTTCTTCCTTCAGACAGGTCACATTGATTTCTCTGAGTAGACTTAAGAATGTAGAACATCAGCGGTGGTCCTTCAGTTTCAAGGTTTATTGAATAATAAACTTTCAAAAGGTTATATAAGGCTATTTTTATCATTACCCTTTGCTTTTTTTAAAATAGAATCTCCGGTAAAATTTACGATTTAAGCTTTGGGGTATGGTTACAAGTGAATATTTTAATGTGCGTAAATCTACTGCATAAAAAAAACAAAAATAAATATGCCCATTCTTTTTTAAAAAATAACTACGACGTATTTAATTTTTAAAGAAGAAGTTAGAGTAATCCATCACATAAAGAAGAAATTATATCTTGTTAAAAAAGAAATTAGATAAATTTACCATAATTTTGTTGATATGGCTTGTTTTAATATATATATTACATATACAAAATGAACAACGTGGACGCAATTTAAACCACAATCAAGTGATTAGAATGACGTTAGAATTCTAATTTAGTTGATTAGCTATTCATTTTTGTAGTTAAAAATTCTAATTCAGTTTCCAATTATGTACTTTTTTGAAAGAGAATTGAAAATTTGGGAGCTTCTGCTAATTTTATTTCATTGTTTTTCTGTACAAGTTTGAATGTTCATAACATAAGAATAGATTCACCAAGAAATAATCTTGCACATGGGATGAAAACAGATGATATGATTTTCTTATGATTTGGGGTGTAAAAGTATTGAAAATGAAATACTAAGAATACCACGGTAATTAAATACATTCTGTCACAAAAAATATATGCACTCGGAAGAAATCGAAATACTATCACGAAACTTGCATGCATGTAGTGGATGAGGAGATAAGAAAATTATTACAAATTCAGAACAGGTTGTTGTTTGATTCTGAGGATATAACTTGAAAAAGTTACAAATCAGTAGGTAGTAAATCTACCTCTGGTAGCTATACAAGCCGAAATGAACCTTGGCATTGAATCACTGAGGTCACCTATGGCCCCCTACGGAAGATCATGCCATAATCTTTGCAACTGAGCATTTTTTCATGAGTATTTCAGGATGGCTGCATTTGCCTTCCTAGCAGTCCCAGACGGGCTCTACTGGCGAGAGGTCTGGTGATTTGG